TTAGTTAAACTATTTTGGCATGTGTCAGTTGGTAAGCATAAGCTATGAGATGTGCAATTTGGGTTTTCAACAGAGATAGGAAATTATTACAACGAAGAAGACACTGAGTTTTATGACATTTTCAAGAAGTCATTTAAGTGATTGAGGGAAAACTGTATGGCAAACATCTGGAAATGATCTTTTTAAACTGAATACTGAATTCTTACAATAAAGAAATAGATCATTAAATTTTTGTCAAGTCATAGTATTTATACAACAGAATGACTGGACTAAAGAAAAACTTTCAGTTGATGGACATAGAACTGATAATGCATATAGTTGCCCTTAGCAGTTTTTATGCATACAAACTGAAGGAGAAACCTAGTGTCTGGCAAAATGTCCCCTGGAAATAGCAAAGGTCTAAAAGGAAAAAAAAAAAAAAAAGAATCCTTGCTTTTTTATACTCAGGAATGGATTTAGCTTTCCTTGTATTCTGCTCTAATAAGTACTACTGTAATAATGTGGTTTCTGCACTACAACATTGGATGATACAGGAAAAAGTAAATGAATGCCCCTGATACACAGGAATACATTATCCTAGTATTAGCTTAGTTGGACTTCACCTGAACTTTAAGATTTTATTCTAGTTAGTACTTGCACAGTAGGCAGTTTAAGTGTAAATTATAGTTCACTTGAACTTCAGAAATGACCTGTATTTACTAGAGTACAATGTACTCCTGGTCTCATTTGAGTCATAAAATATAAATATGAGGCCTAAAATGGACATTTTAACATGCTCCTCAGGTGATTCTTATGCACATTAAGTTTGAGAATTACGTAACTAGAGGGTTAACTTTGCCTCTGGTGAGCTCTCCACAGCTATCTCAACCCAAACTGAGATTTTTATACATCAAATTAAATTATCAGTTTTCTCTCTACATAAATCAGTGATCACTACTGTAGCAGAAAACGAGACTGAACACTAATGCAATGTGTAATTTCAGGCTCAACATTTACCTTGAAACTTATCAGAAATGGTCTCTTCCCTCCTTTTAATGTAGAACTAGAATACATAAATAAATCTGGTGAATATACACCCATGATTTACTATTTGTTGTGCTTTCCTGGTAAGTTTCATATTCTTACTCCTAAAGTTAAAAAAAAAGAGGAATAAAGTTGCCTTTTGTAATTCTTTTTTGATTATTTAAATCTCTCCAAAGATATAGCAGTAATTATAAGTAAACACCTTATCCATGACTCACATGTCATGGATAAGTAAACACCTTATCCATGTACTCACAGAAGAGTACATTTTAGAAGGGTCAATGTTTTAAGTACTTAGCATTTAAGTACTGAGCATTTATGACTTTCAGCCCTGAGGAAATCATATTCCTCAACCTCAGACCAAAAAAGGGTATCAACATCTTAAAGAGCTGAAAAGAGGCCTAGAAGTTATCAAATCCAACTTTTTACTCAAAAAGGTAGTCCTCTCAATAGCCCCTTGATAGTCATCCAGTTTCTGCTTGAACATTTTTTTGATGGAATCCTTACTTCATTTAACAGTACAGTGGGACTGCACCTTGATATACAGAACCACAATGTGTCTCATCCAACTTGCACCTGCTGGTTTGAGACTTGCCCTCTTCATTTAAGTCCTTCCTATATTTGAAGACAGCTGTTATGTCTCCCCTTAGTTGTCCACTGTCTCTTCTCCAAAGTCTACAATATCAACTCTAAGATGCACGTTCTTTCCATGCATGACATCTTTGAAATTGGTATGCATTTTTGTAATTCATGGTTCATCATAGTTTAATCGAGCTCTTTTCTTCCTTAGTGGTACAATTAGGTTGTACCTAATGGTTCACAACTAGGTTTGCGAAAATACAGTAATTACCCCACTTTTAACACTTTTTCCATGAACAGAAACATTCATGGTCATCCAGTTCAACTCCTTACCTTATACACAAGAACACTGTCCAGTCAGTTTCTCCTTAGTTATGTTCTGAGGTTGAATCTAAAGGCCTACAAACCAACCAAAATCTTAATTACCTCAGTTTTAATACTGCACTGAAATCTTTTTCTCTTTTTGGTCCTAGTTCTATTCTTCAGACCCGCAAATGAATGACAACTCTTAAATTTGATACCTGAAGACAGATACCATGTTTCTAGAGTTTATTCTCTAATGCTAAACTTTCCTACTTCCTGGTTTGTTTTTTGTTTTTTGTTTTTTTTGTATATTTAAAATGTAATGTAAAATGGGGATACTAAAACCTACCTTATGATGCTATGCTAAAGACAGCATACAATAATACATGTAAAACACTTAGTATATTGCTTGGCAGCTAGAAGGCATGCCACATTCTTTTCTCCTTCTGCCTTCCCCAGTCACAGCAGTTCTTAAAATACAGTGACTTCCCACCTTGTTCTGAGCACTATACTTTCAATATAGCTGAAAATCACATCAGTATTTTTGGCAACAGTTACAATTTACATTGATCTACATATGAACCACTCTCTTAAGACATGTTACATTCCACCATCCTTTATTCTTTTAGCAACCAAAGTGGGAAAGTAATTATCTTGAATCAGTGTATCCTATTTGATGCAACTCAACACACAAAATTACTGGGTTAGATTTAGATCCCGATTTTGACGTGCACTGTGTTTATTTGCTTCATCTCCTAGATCTGTCATGTATTTATGATATGATCTAATTCACTGGCAATGCTAGTGGCAAGGAAGGAGCTTTCTGACATGCTGTTAGGACCTAGGCTTTTAAAAAGGCACAGAGATAAGTCTGGCTTATTATCCACAGACTGTCTTAATGGAACCAATTAGTAGGTATTCCTAGGTTTGTTTTTTTTTTTTAACTACACAAACTATGGTTAAGAGAACATTAAAGATGGACATCCCTTTAATGCACGTGCACATTTAGGTTTTTAGTAACTTTCCGCAAAACTGATGTTAGTAAGCAAATCTAAGTTAAATGTGCCCTTCTTTGCAGGGATGCTCAGATGCCCCATATTTAAAAGCACTGGGTGTAACAGAATGGAAGATCTGTTTTTGAATGAAGGATTAGAAAGGGTAGAGTGGGAAAAATTTGAACGTTCAAAAGTTCACTGAAAATGCTTTAAAAAAGAATTTTGAAAATGAAATTACAGCAAAAAATTGTAAATTATTTCAAAGCCCAATGCTTTAATTTGTACATTTTATTTTCAAATTGAAATATCAATTTATACCATTCAATCAACATGTATTTATCAAGCACCTACGGTGTACCAAGTTCAGTGGCAAAAAGGAAAAGACCAGTTAAGTGGTTGGCTTTATATTATACTCTAAGAATTCAAATAAACTTTTCAGTTCTTAAAAATTTTTTATATCTAAGGAAAACTTTGTGCAGTGAAAAAAAATCCCTGAAAATGGAGTTTTATCATATAAATTATAGTATCACCACAAGAAGCAGAGAATATATATTTGAAACTAAAAAGGTGAAAGGACTTTCTTTTGCAACTAAATAGCTTTTTACCCCTAGAGCCAATTATAGTATAATCACAAAGTTATTTAACAACATACACATCTATGTCACTAGTTATATAGGGAAAATTTAACAGAATTAAACCTAAGGAAGAAAATGTGAAATATTAGTTCAGGTCAACTTCTGTACATGTATAACCACAAGTTATAAAACCAAAGAATATAACAGTGTGTTATATTAAAGAGTTTAATATAGTACTTTAAAGATTTCAAATAGACTTTTTAAACTTGGATCTGAAGTCAAGAGCATGGTAATTTCGGGTAACAAGTTATAAAAAATTGGTTTACATGCAAGAGTTTTCTCATTTTGATGATTCAGGGTAAAAAGAACTTAGAAACTGGAAAAGTGTGCACTTAAAATTTTCTAAATGGCCGTTAAAACAAACAATTAAGAGTCAAGACAACAAACCACTTGATATGAGCTATCTTGCTTTTCTGAGTCATTCACAAAACTACCAATCATGATCATGGTGACACTTTATACTGTTACGTTTGTACTCATAAAAATAAAGATCACCTTCCCTTTTTTCTTTTTAACTGTTTCTCATGGTTATGTAGGAAAAGTTATGCTTTACAAAGTCAATTATTGTGAAAAAATGTAATGCTTTTTTTTTTTAAGAAATCTAGGATTTGATTCTGGTTTATGTCAAATATGTGAAGTTTTGTGCACAACAGTTAAAACTACAATTATATAAGTGCCATCTTTCCTGCAGAGGAGATGCTTTGGTTTAAATCTGAAAGGTTAAAAAATCCTGTTATTTTTATGTCAGTTTCTCCATATCTCAAAATACATAGAAAAAGGTATATCTTAAGTCATTTCATATTCCTGATACACAAACACAGCAATGTCATAAATGTTTCATTTTCAAACATGATTTGGTAAATGTCAACAAACTTTCACTCTTCATAGAAAAATAGGTTAAAAATGAAAATTTAGAAAATCAAAACTCACTGCCTTTTTTACTCTCTATCTCTAGTGTTTGTAGCTTCAGTCTTCAACATTTTTAAATACAGTATTTGCGCCTTTAGATGGAAAAGAATCCATCAACTTGTAAATGTGAAATATCCAGGCCAGCAAACTGAAGGTAAAGTCTACCTCACCCTTGCTTTTGGTTTACCTTAATTTGCATATTACTTCTTAAAGATAAATCTCAAAGGTCTATCAGGAAATGTCTCATGAATTTCTCACAAAAGTATCTTGATTGGGTCCCATGAGTGTTCAGGAAGTTTTATTTCTAATGCAGCCATAATTACTTTAAAAAATAGTTTCTGTTTTGACTTGGTTAATAACTAAAAATGCACCTGCATTTTTAACCTACAAGTAAAATGATATATAGTTCCATCAAATTACTTGTCAAAAGCTGAAAAAAAAAGACTACATTTTAAATTGACTAGTCACACCATTTGTAAACCTTGAGGGTTTCGGGGGGTCTACTTTCATGTTGAAGAAATAATTTCACAATTTCAAATCAAAGTCAACACTGCAGTGAGGAGAGCTTTTCTACTTTATTACAAAGAGAAGAAGCCTTTATGTGGTCAGAAAATACAAGATTGATCTTTTTTTTCTCTTCCTATGAAACGCTGCTGTTCAAACAGCCAGAGTGAATTGTCTCAGTTCACTTCTTTAAGTCCCATCACATTCACTTGGGTATGGATGTCCTTGGCTGCTGAAAATCTGGCCCTTTAGTGCACAGGGCGACAAAGTCCCCTGACCAGCAGTTCCAGAATGTCCCATTTTCATATATTGCATCCATGCACACCTCCTAAAAATGAGGTACAGCAGGGCAAACATTTTCCAAAATAGATGTCATATATATAATATATACACATTCGTACATACATACCTTTATTCATGTGATGTCCAAAAATTTAAAAAAAATGTACACATTTATTACAAAATCGTAACAAAGACTGGACAGTGTTTTGCTCATTCTGGAAAGATGAAGCTCAGTAATAACACAACCCTGGAAACCATCCAGAGATTGTGGCAATATCTTTCTTCTAAACAGTCAGATATTCTTGCATTAAGCTTGGCGAAACTGCCTTTCAAAAACAGAAGGGGAAGTAAAATGAAGGAAGCAGACCTTGCTCATCTTTCCAAATGAAATACGAGAAGGATCTTCACATAAAAATGCACAAACATTTGTTATTTTATTACCAATAGTGCTACAATGAACAATGCAAATTTTGTGGTCTAATTCTGTTGAGTCTTTTGTGGGTTTTCTTTTTTACATTTTAGAAACTAAATGGTAAACTTCTGTCAGTGTACTTGCTTGTCTTTACAGACTCAAGTCTGTCTGCTGGCAAAAAAAGAAAATAAATGAAAAAAATTCAGACCCTGCTCGAACTAGAGAAAAACAAATTACAAATTTAGTTGTTGGGCAGCACATAATTAGTAAGGCAGGACCTCAAATGGTGACCCTTTGCATAAGCCAATTGCCAGATCCTCAAGGAATTAAAACCAGGGTGCCTGAGCCACATCAGTTCTGCAGTTATGTTGAGTATTGTGCTGAGACAGCCATACCCCAAGAAAAGGGAAGTCTTTTTTTAGAAGGCTTGCTGAGCAGGGTTGTAGTTGAAGGTGGATGGCAGGTGAGGCCGTTCTTCTAATTTGTCATATTCCAGATGAAATTCCTATAAAACCAAATTTAAGAATTTAGATGATTTCCTCTCCCTCTGATCTCAGATTTTTGTCAAAATATATTTTACTAGGTGAACAAAATACCTACATGTATGAGAATGAACACAGACACAGATGTACCAACTCTTTTTTTCCCTCTAAAATACAGCTTGAAGAAAAGTAATGTGCGGCAGTTTCTGATAAGTGCAAAAATACAGACTTTGTGTAAAAGTCAGAGACTACTCATGAACATCTATTTTATAACACTGAAACTATGCATTTTTTTGCTCAAAAGTGGAAGTTTGAGCAGCTCTTACTATACCAATAAAAAGCACTGAAAATTGCAGGGCATTTAAAATAAAGCCAACCTTCAATGATGTAAAAAAATTTACTTTTTCCTCGAAAAAATAATTTTCCAATTTGTAATTATTACACCTACTTTTTTTTTAAAAGCAAACATATCAAGTTATTCTAACCTTACAACTCACACATCTCCCGACTTCTCACTTCAAACCCAAATACTGAAAAGATGTAAATGCCACTCAAAACTAGACAGTGGTTTTGCTGTAAGCACATCTGAACAGAAACTATTTAGCTCATTTTAATTAAACTTTCAAAATACGTTAACTTCATGAGATTTTTAAAATTTGAGAATGGTGAGGTGAATTTCTTCATGATACCTCCTTAAGATCAAGAGAGATGCAGAAGATAATTTTGTATATTAAAAAACAAAAAACAGAACTTTGCAAATCCAAACAGCAAGAGGTTCTAAAATTACTAATTCTACAATTTGAATTCAATAATAGCACAAACTAAATCAATTCCATTTAAAACATTATGAACCTTAATTTATACTATGTATTAAAGAAAGCCAACAAGTAATTATTAGCACTATGGGTTAACATACCTTACCATACCTATCTTGTCTCAAATTGATTCTAAAAATGGATATTCCCATTATTAAATTAAAATGAAAACCTAGGTCATAATGATTCAATTTTGAGATATAAAACCAAGTATTTAAAATTTAAGACTATTACATTAACAACTGAAAATCTAGTATGTGCCAAAACTAGAGATACAGCTAATTTTAATCTTTCTGATTATATCTTTCTGTATATATCATTATCTTCATCTTGCACCTGAAGAAATGAGGTTTACAAGTAACCTGCCCAAATCATACCTTAAGCGGAAAATCTAGGATTAGGATTCAGACCTATGTAGCACCAAAGCCCATGACCTTCTAGTGTTAACACATTATTTTTAATAGTTTTAGTGCAAGATCCAAATAAATTTACTTCATTACACCCCTTACGCAGAAATGTTGAAAAAATTCAGTTCAGTGACAAATGTTCTTAAAGAAGAGACACTGTAATGACTTTAATTTAAAAAGGTTCACTTTATAGGACAGAGTAACTAAGGCACGTAGGTCATTTGCTTTTCATTAAAACTAGCAAACTCCAGAATCACCATCGTCCCCCTTATGCATTGTGTAGGCACCGCTCTCTCTCCCTACCCCTAAATTTTAAAAGCAACTTATAAGAATATCAAAATGAGTGAAGAAAATATCTTCTTGTTATATCACTCTTTAGAAATTAAAATTGGCAATTTAGTTCCAAAATATGTGTAGTTGCAGGGTAAAAAGTCTATTTGTAACTGTAACAAATCACAGGCCCCACTAAGTTACATAAATTAAATTTTGTTCAGTTATCCTGTCCTTGTCATTGTACATTGGTGAACTACACAGTATTATTAGAATTTAAACTGGAGTAACTTCATCAGAGCACATATTTTTTCCCCCTAGATATTAAAAGAAAAAGATCAGTTTAAACCTAGGGAGCATAATAAATATTTTAATATAATTTAAAAACTCATATATCAGAGATTCAGAAATTAAGTAAGTCAAATTTTGTCTTCCTTTTTCTTACATCATTGTTTTGTTCTTCTATGTATTTTTATTCTTCTTAAAATACGTAAATCTTACAATATATTTTGGTATCTCTTTGTTCCCTTTGTTGGTAACATCTCTTTTACACATTTGTTATATGTACACACACATCACACATGCACACCTCTTTATAACTGGTAGGGACAAAAATAGTAGGTCTGTTTTGTAAACCACTACATACCGCCTGGAATATAGTGCCATGCCCCTAGTAGGTATGTAATTAATGGCTGATGAATTAATAAACACAAGTTTTTTTTCATTTGTTTTAGGAACAAAACATTACAATTTAATGATTTAAAAGGCTATAAAATGTTTTAGGTACTTTTTAAAAACAATTCTTAAAGTTATTTTTCTATTAATCAAATTAGGCTACATATTCTCAAGAGGTCACTGTACGCAGAACTGAAATACATGTACTGGATTCAGATAATCAAATGAAATTATTACAAAAGCATTAATGTAATCACTGATCGAATTACACCGAGAAACATACACTGCAGGAGTATTTTCTCAAATTCTCAAAAATGTCAGCTTTCTCTTACCTAAGATAAATCCTCCAATTTTAGGAAGTTGCCAACTATCTTAAATATACTTATTAGAAATATTTTTTTTACTACTTTGAAGAAAAGTACGTATTACTGATTAAAATATAAAGATATACTAATGTGTACCAGTGAAATTAATGGAAAAAAATCACATTTATATCAGGCTATGATATTATTAAAAATTCTAAGCATTAGAAATACTATTCAGTGTTGGATCCACAAGGTGAAGTCAGGCTGAAAGAATTCTTCAATTTTTAAGGCTTTAGTTTGAGAAAGCTATTGATCATAGAGCAGCCTACATCACCTGAAAATTCTGTTGATGAAATTATTTAAAAAATTCTACTCATTAAGAATATATATAATCTGAATGACCACTATTTTTAAACTAGTGAGATACTTGAGTAATTCTAGCTAAATTACAAAGGACAGACCACATAGCCTGTCTGACAAGTCAAGATTATTTAAAAGGGGGAGAATAAACACAGTGTCAAAATTTTTATGTATACATTATTGACATACAAAAAATACTTTATTTAATGGGCTGGATCCTAGAGCTCAGAGTTACAGAATTTTCATGGGTAAAAAATACTTCCGATTTAAACCATCGAATTTCTTATTAACAATTCTTCAAATCTCTGAAAATATTAAATAATCTGCAAAACAGAAAGAAAGAACCTCATACAAGACATCGTGATATGGAGACCTGACAACAGTCTAGATCAGGTCAATACTTTTCAAAGACAACATGATAACATCAAGCTATTACTTATAATACTAATTCAGACTGTAGGCTTCTTACAATGAGTTGAAGTTATTTAATAATACATGTTCTTTACCTGTGAGTAGTAAACCACATCCACTTTACAGGTGGGGATTTTGAGGTTTACTTGGGACATGGCATTTTAGGGGCTTTTCTGTAGTCTGATAAACTGTTAATACATTATAAGTGGAACTAAATGTCTTAATTCCTAAACAATTTGAGAAAACACTGAAAACATCTTTTAAAACAAAAAACCAGGAGCCATTGTGAAAAGTTTATTCTGTGAATACAACTTAAAGGTTTTAAGTTCATGAATCTGTATTTTAATATAACAAGAGTGAGCTATGTATAATACTTAATAGAAACAAATAATTCTGCTTGCTTTCATCATTGTGAAAATAATTTTGATGAAAAGTGTCAGTGCCAGTGGCCAGCAATTACCTCAAAAGAGATTTCTTAAACAGTTTAATGATATTTCTCAAATTTTATTTTCCAACTTCAGAGCTAAAAATTATAAAGGTAAAGGTTAAGACAAAGCTCAACTGTACAGGAGATCAGATAAAGTTGGGTAAAATTACTTTATATATGCACACTGCATATTTACACACACACACACACACACACACATACACACACACTTTTCTTTAAAATGACATGTATCTGACTGGGGAATTGATTTTTATAGGAAAGTAGAAGGGCCTATTAATGTTTAAGTTGCTTCTGAATATTTTGTGGAGAGAAAGTAGTACTGGAAACCTTTTTCACATAAGAAAATCTGTCCTATATATTGAACTTTAAAACTTAACTAAAATGATACATCAATCTACTACAAACATCCAACCTTTCTGCACATAGAAGTTTGGAATAACTTACAATGATATTGAGCAAAAAGCTTCAAATCGAATGGAGAAAACTTCAGTTCTAAGACTCTTTTCCCCCTCCAAAGACACATTCTTCTCTCCTGTACAATCAACTGACTGAGAAATTCTCAAAGTATGGCTCCAGATAAAGATCAGCAAAATCATTGGCATCACTTAGGAAATTGTTAGAAATGCAAATCCTCAGGCCCCATCCATAGACATTATTAAATCAGAAACAATGGAGGTATGGCTCAGCAACTTGTTTTTAATAAGTCTGCCAGGTAATTCTGATGCAAGCTCAAGTTTGAGAACCACTGACCTGACCTAACAACAGTTATAATTTTTCCATCTTTGAAGAAGAGTAATAAGCTGTAAGAACACAGATGATAAAAACAGCAACAAACTACAACTACTCCCATGTATCAAATACCCAATATATGCGAAGCACTGTACTGAGCGTATGCGTGTGTGTTTGTGTGTAAAATCTCATTTAATCCTCGTGACAATCTAGAAGCAAATATGATTCGATTTAAAAGATAAGGAAGCAGGCATGGAAAAGAAACTTGCAAATGGTCAAAGCATAAACAGCTGAAAGAGGAGTTAAATTCAAATCTACAATACAAAGGCTTTCTACCACACTATACTTCTTAACAGGTAACATACACAATGTCTCCTGTACTACTTGTAATGAATGTAATTATTTCTACTTAAAAGGTCAGATCATGGATCTACCTTTTAAAATCAAGATATGCATATTAATTATAATTGTTAAAATAACTCAAATACAGTATGGTGGTCTATGGACTTGGTCTGAGAAGTAATGACATTTACCAATGACAAACACCCAAAAGTAATAATAAAAAAGATTTAACCTCTTGTATGTGTCTTGTCTGGTGTTTTTACTTGGGCACATCTTTTCCTATTTCTTTTTTCAAGTTTTACATGAAATCTTGTGACGTAAAACATTTCTGTGATAAAGATCTGGTAAGCATTTTACATTGTCATGTTAAAATGTTTTACCTTCTTATTGATTTAATAAAGTTGACTCAAAAGATAAAAAAGCCCAAACCAACAACTAGAGAATCATCCAATGGACTAGTTGTCAAGAAATATTTTTCTTCTGTTTAAATTTATTGAGAATAAACAAAACTAACTCTTGAGTTTTTAATCCTAAGAATCTTCAATGGAAAAGGCATTCAGAGCAATCTTGGAGTTATGAAATCAGATGTTGGCTATACTCTCTACTAGGGAGACTAAATGCATACATTCAAGATACTACACAGACCGTGAAATATGCTATGAGACTAATGAAAATTTTGCACATGGGACAGTTAAATAGGTGTTTTTGTGAGGAGAAGTTGCAAAACAAAACACAACAACTTTTTCCACAGTCCTCTTCCCTCCAATATTCAGCATACTAGTCATAGGAACAATCAAGGTTAATGCTTACAATTTTTTCTTTATATCACTTGCAAATAAAAATCAAGCATCTTTCCTGCAATGAGTGCAAGCGTTTTAAAAAGCCTATTATCTGTTTATATACCAGTTTTAGGAAAATCTCCTACTTGCTTAAGTAATAAGAATACATGACTGGGATTGCAAGAAGGTGATCTTTATTTTACAACTGAGTAGACACAAAAATGTTTCAAATGTTACCAAGGCTTGTGAAAAATTACAAAATTTCTTACCAAGTTCATTTTCCTAACTATGGGTGAATGAGTTGTTTCTGGACACTCTCCTAAAGTTTAAATCAAGCCAAGGAGGTGAGGACAAAAAAACTTAATTAGCAAGTATCTGGCACATTATTGGAATGGATGTATTGGTACATATAAACAGATAAAACAGGATACTTCTTTTTAAAATCTAGATTTATACATTTACACATTTGCACATGGAAAAAAATATACCTTAGCTACTTTCCTCCAGTTAAGACAGTCAAAGAAGTAATATGTTCCCCTCTCATATGTATTGGTTTTCATTGTTGGCTCCATGCCTGGTGCCCTGGTAATCCATACTCGTTCTTCTTTGTGGTATCTCCAATCACGGTTAAAACTTAATTTTTAAGAGAAAAAGACAATTAATTTTTCCTGTGGCTCACATTATTTTCTACATTTTGTAAAATTTTTCTCAGAAAATAATTATACAGAAAATACATAAATATGGATGCTTCTTTACCCTTTGTTATTAAACACAACCTTAGTGAAATAAATATAGGAAAAGAATCCCTTAATTTGTCCAGAAACCACACTTGTTAATATACACATCTTTATTTAACTGAAGAGACTTTTTATGCAAACATAGTAAGATCTTAAAAGCTCTATGAGCAATGTGATAAAAACTTAGGCAAACCAAATAAAGATACATTGTGTTCCAGAAACTTCACTCCTTTTTTGTTCTTCTTAACATTCAAAAGAAATTGAGATATCTATTAAAACAAAAACCCCAACTATTTGTATTATTTTATAAAGAACAAAATACAGTCTTTTTATCTATTTAAATTCACATAATTTTATAACTATGTTGAAAATAGAATATCCATATTAAAAATTCTTAATGAACGTATTACTTTTTTTATTCAAATCTCATTGATCCTAAATTTTCAAAAGCCAAAAGGATATCCATTAGAATTCATGCAAGAATCAATGAGGATTTACTATCACTTGTAAACTGGGGAAGTAACATCCAAAGGAGGTAAAAGTACCAGAAAAAACATCTCTGGTAGAACAAACCTCCATGTAAACAAATACCTTCCTACTAATACAGTGAGAGAATTTTTAGACATAAATAAGATGTGAGACAGAACTGCCAGTAATGGATAGATGAATAACTAAATGAATTTATTTACTTATGAATAAATTAAAAGGAACAGGTAACAATTGCTATGTTACAAAGAATGAGGGGACATGGGAGAAAACAAATTTTCAATAGAGAAATAAAAAAACAATTTATTATCAACAATGAATTTTACATTTTTATGTATCTGATCCAAGGCCATTTATAGAAATGTTATAAAGAATATTATAAAATACTTAAATCTATAAAAACTAAGTCTCTCAATCATAATATCCTAATTTTCTTTTTGTAAGCTCTACGCCCAATGTGGGGCCTGAACTCACAACCCCAAGATCAAGAGTCACATGCTCTACCAACTGAGCCAGCCAGGCGCCCCATAACGTCATTTTTAATAACAATTTACTCTAGTAAACGTGATTACTAGAATAGTCTATTGGTAACAAAATATATTACCAATTGGATATATGAGATGACACAAAATTTTTATTCTTAGAGCATCAGGTAAAAACAGAAATGCTCAGGAAAAAATATCCAATGGACCAACTTCTTAATACTAATTTATTTAAGTTGGCCAACAGGCTTCTGATAACGAATGTGGACTTCATCAACACTCCAAAACACACAAGTTGTATGCAGTGCCTTGCCCATATAATACTCAACAGATGTTCATTAATGATGAAATTCACTAACATTAATATACGTGGTTCTACAAGATGAGCCACAGTTATGAACCATATCTTATACTTCACATATTTATAAAAATTAGATTCACCAAATTCATGAGTCAATTCTGTCTTCTTACAAATTTAGGATTATTTAAATCTGAAATAATTATTTTTATTTATACAATGACCACTAACCATGGTAACATAAACTTTCAATCTAAATTAACTTTATTTTACTAAACGTAAAAACAAATGGCTTATTTCTTGATGGAAATATTTCCGCTTTAAGAACAAAAGAGAAACCATAGCGATCATGCAAAAGAAAAGCTTTCAGAATAAACAAGATCCACTATAATACAAAAATGTTTAAAAATACTTTGAACATACAGCTCTACTGCAGCTAAAAGTTGTAATACGTCTCCTCCATTCATGTAATAGAGATAGAAAAGCAGGTCTTCTCCATATCGGCCAAGTTTTATTGCAGCCAGCTGGAAAAGAGAAATCAATTATTCTGAAGTGTAAAATAAGTTTGAAAACCCTAACATAATGCTACCACTGAAGTAAAAATAAAAAGATAAACAGAAACTCTTTTCTTTGTAGCAGATAACCATTATTACATGATTTTGCAGGTAGTTATGATTTTAAGGGAGAGTTTTACCATTTAAATAACTGAAGTCATTTAACAATTATTTCTGGTACATCTATTTTATGTACTAATAGGATAAAAAGCTATATAAAAACTTCTAACCAAAACCAAATGCTGTTTTACTTGAGGGCTTATTAATACCCAACATGGTAATAATAGTCGAACCAGTGTTCAGAGATGCAGGACTTATATTCAGGAACTGGTTCCATTATTTACAAATATGACTATGTCCAAGTTATTTAATGCCTATGAACTTCCATATAAAATGCAGAAATGAGACCTACAAGGTTACTAAGAATGTAAACGAAATTGATAAAGTGTCTGTATATGAATGTACCTTAAAGAATGCCTGATACATAGAAAACTTGTAAGAAATGTTAGCTGAATCTACATCAGACAGTGATTCACAAATCAGTTGGTTATGTATTTTTAGCAAATCACAGACGGTAAATACAAAAATCATAAAGGGACAGCTCTTTATTTTGTTTAAATGGATGACTAAAAGATGACTGCCTTACATGCTTCCATAAAGCAGAAACATTAACTGCCAACCAAACTATAAAACATTGAGTTTAATAGTCTTGAAATCTTTTGTTAGGGTAAACCTTTATTTAAAAGCTCATCAAAGTGAAAACACTTTTATCTCTTCACCCAATTCTGTATTGAAATGTCTATTTAACTGTTACACAATCTCGGAATATAATTTTTCTCTCCATTCATATTATCCCCATTCAAGCAGCAGTTTTGAAGGTGACAAATTCTCCTAAATCAGTATTTCTTAAATTGCCCTAAGAAACGGTTCTGGAACCCTTAGGTAATTGGAGCAAAAAAGCTCTATCTACGGTGGAGGTGGCAGAAAAATCACAGTCTACAAACAGAAAAAATTAGTTCTATCTCATACATCTTGTCTTCCATTTACTCAAGTATTAAAAGACATATTGAGAAGTATCTCTTTACTTGCCTGTCCACAAAATCAACATCCACTTGACCATGCAACTGCATGGTACAGACACAGAACACCATCATTTTAATACATATTTTATATATTTATGAAATTATTTTAGATTTATATATAAATATGTAAGACATTAGATACATTATGTATAACATAATTTTTAATAAATGATATCCTTCCTCAAGGCCAAAATCTAGGGACACAATTTCTAACAGAAATGAACACTTAGTTCTTTCTCCTAAACAAAGTAGTTACCATTTTCTTTTTTAGAGTAAAACAAAAGATTAAAACTGTAGTCTGTTAATAGTTACTTTACAACTAGAATTTTGGGTAATTTAAACATTTTAAAAAGCCAAATGTCATAGTTTTTAAATACATATTTATATATTGTTCCATTGAAAACACTACCTACAGCATTTGTTAAAAAAAATATTTTATTGATAAGGGCATAAAATGAGAATATCAGAAGGAAATTTATCAAATTTTCCCAAAACAGTTTAATTCTCATTAACCATGGTTATGCCGTTATTAATAACTCCTAGAAAAATTTTAACCAGCCCTACCATTGTTTTTAAAACATATTCTTTAAATATAACCTAGGATCTCATCAAAACATTAAGATAAACAAAAATAGAAATAAAATTGTTTTATGTAATTGAATGGACACATGAAAGCATACCCCTGAAACCACTGCTAATTATTTCAAAAAATTTTACGCCGTCTGAACTGAAAAACAGTGCCTGAAAAATAGATACATTCATGCTGACTGAGGAGAATAATAAACTACACTCACCTTATCCCTAATGTGAATGTTCGTTAAGTACTCAGATGGAACATGGAAGTCTGGATAATAAAATGAAAAAAGCCTTATTAACTGATTCTCAGTTAAAAAATATTTTTAAAAGGTCTGAACACAAATAAATTCTCCTACCTATGTCTTGAGGTCGACAAGGTGAAGATGCCCAGGGTGATGCAAATTTGGGGTAGAGATTTCTGAATATGAGGGGAAAAAAAAACAAACACTCTCAAGTCCGAAGTATAAAAAAAGATTTCAATTTTTATTTCAGGAAATCAGGAAAAACAATGACTTCAAAAGTAAAATGAGCATCTTCTAATTTCTTCTCATGCGCTTACTATAACTTACACAGCAGAAAAATGAAACAAGGTTAACTAGGTGCATATGTATGTGTGTGTGTATGTACCAAGTACATATATTAAGTTATAAATATATATTCACATATAACGTAACTTCAACTCAGAATGCTTTAAATTCATTAATAGCATGCCCCCAAGTAAAATTACTTTACCATTTATATGGCCAGAAAAAAATCAGTAATTATTAAAAGCAAAAGTTCAAATCACCAAATATTTACTGAGTGCCTATTATATGCCTGGCACTGTTCTAGGTGCTTTGGCTACATTAGTGAACAAAACAAAGGTAATGGACAACGTGAAACTTCTTTTCTTTCCTTTTCTTTTTTAAAGATTTTATTTATTTATTTGACAGAGAGAGACACAGCAAAAGAGGGAACACAAGCAGAGGGAGTGGGAGAGGGAGAAGCAGGCTTCCCGTGGAGCAGGGAGCCCGATATGGGGCTCGATCCCAGGACCCTGGGATCATGACCTGAGCCAAAGAGAGGTGCTTAACGACTGAGCCACTCAGGCGCCCGTGAAACTTATTTTCTGATTGAGGATGACAGATTTGAGGGAAGCAGACAAAAATAATTTGCATAATAAATAATATTCCATGTTCATGGAGGAGTAGAAATGGGAGGTTAGTTGCATTAAATAAAGTAGTCAGGTTAGGTCTCATTTAGAAGATCAGATTTGAACAAAGATTTGAAAGACATGAGGGAGTGAGCCATATTAACTATCTGGCAAAAGACTATTCTAGTCAGAGGGAATTGCTAGAGTAACTAAGGTTGGGATATGACTGGTATGTCTGAGGTACAGCAAGAAGGCCAGTGAAGCTGGAACAGAGTGAACAAAGGGAAAAGCCATGGAGGTGGGAGAAGGAGAACATGCCTGTAGAGATAAACAGGCCTATAAAGATTTTAGGTTTTTTTTTAAGATTTATTTATTTATTTATTTGTCAGAGAGAGAGAGAGAGAGAGAGAGAGAGCATGCACGAGCACGAACAGGGGAGCAGGCTCCCCGCTGAGCAGGGAGCCTGATGAGGGACTCGATTCCAGCACCCTGGGATCACGACCTGAGCCAAAGGCAGACGCTTAACTGACTGAGCCACCGAGGCATCCCAAGATTTTAGGTTTTTAATCATAATGAAACCACAAACCCTCATTGAGCACTGCGCAAAAGATTAACCTATTCAGAAAGGATGGTCCTAGCTCTTATATAAAGAAGACACTGTGAGGGACACAGAGAGAATCAGGGACACCGGGTGATTGGCTAACGGAATAATCTAGGCAAGAGAGGATGGCGATTCAAACCAGAGTGGCAGCAGTTAAAAGCAGTAAGAAGCATGCAGCAATGAATCTACTATGTCAAACATTGCTGACAGGTCAAGGAGGATAAGTTCCTACAAGCGACCCCTGAATTTAATAACATAGAGATCATTTGATGACCTTGATGAGAGTAGTTTTAGTGAAGTGGTGAGGCAAAATCCTAACTGAAATGGATTTAATGGAGAATGGGAAAAGACAAATGGGAGATGGTAAAGATGGCTTTTTTGAAGCGTTTTGCTCTCCAAGAAATAAGAATAAAGAAATAAGGGCAGTTAACACCCAGAAGAAGTTAGATAAGAAGGCATTTTATTAACTTTATAAAGGAAGTTAATAGAATATTTGTATGCTGATGGAAATGACCCAACAAAAGTGCAAAACTTGTTAGAGCCATGTCCTTGAGTTTTCAAGAGACATTTTAAGTAGAAAGCATGGATCAACTATAGCAACAGGGTGGAAGACAAGAATAAGGTGGGTACAGATAGTAGTAGATAGATAGATTTGGTGGTAGGACTATGCTGACACTCTCTTCTGATTATTTCCATCTTTCTTAGTAAACTAGAAATAAAAACGCAAGGTCTTAATTCTGTACCTGAAACTAGTATTACACTGTTAACTAACTGGAATTTAAATAAAAACTTGGGGGGGAAAAAAAGGCAGCAAGGTCTTCATCTGAGAGTGAGGACAAGGAAAAAGGTAATTAGATGTTTGAAGAGACAGTGTGAAATAGTTGCATAGGAGAACAAAAGAATGAATGGACAAGGCATGCCAGTTATGAGTGGCAGAATTAAGGGCCCTCTTTTGAGGTTCCTGGCCATGAATGTGAAATGAGACCAGGCAGTGAAGCTGTGTGGTTTTCTCTAGCCAGGTTCAGTAGCAGAGGTTAAGAATGGAAGTCAGAGTATAACCAGGGTTGTAGTTTCTGCCATGCAATCATGACAAAGAGCAGGAGAGGGGCAAAGTAGCCAAGAGTGTATATAAACAATTATGAGTGACCACAGAACTTATCTGGATAAGAAGGAAGTGAGTTCTTCTCAGGGGAAGAGAAGGATGCTGCAGAACAGTGAAAAGATAGAAGAATCAATGGATTGAAGATCCCAAGGAGTCAAATGATTATAGGAGCCAGAACTAGAGGGAGAAAGATGGGAAACAGGAAGTGGCATGGGAGCACAGATAAAATTATAGAGAAACTGCAGTTACTGATAATGGCAAAGTCAAAAGGACGATTAAATATGTAAAATTAGCTGAGATGTGGTGGAGAGTAAGATTTTTGGAGGTGAAAAACTCAACAACCCAAGATTTCAGGAATATGGAAGGATCACATATGTGTATTCTGAAACTGCCAAAGAAGAATGATATTGTCAAGTGACAGTGATCCAGGAGCTAACAAGAGAGGGTATGACCCAAAGAGTCAAGACATAACAGCAACAATGAGTGGCTGTAGGTGATACAATCTGATGACATGAAATTAAAAACTAGAAATCTGCAAGTAGGTATTATACACAAATGTGGAAGAAAAGAAAAAAAACTTACTCAGGAGAGTTCAGATTGAGGCCTAATGTTGTTAAGTCACTTCCTAACGCAAGATGTACCATTCCTGGGTCCGTCTCTGCTGCCCTGATAAATGTTAACAGGCCAATCATTCCAAATTGGTCCGTCACCATCCCTTGAGGAATGTTAGTAACCCGACCTGGATAAGAAGAACACAGTAATTTTATCTTTAAGGAAAAAGCAAAGAAATGAATTCTATAATATCTCTGACATATTTTATAGAGTCCCACCATCAGGTAACACCTGGATCCCTTTTTTCTGCTGGTTATTATTTTGTGTTGTTGAACTTTTATCTCCAGGGAATTTGGGTCCATCTGTACTTGAAGTTGTCTTGCCAGATGTATTCAAATTCTAACATGAAAAAAATTAAACGTGACATTAAAATTTGTTAAGTGTAAAAATTTCAAGTTCACATATTAGTTACCATTCTATTCATTCATTATTATATTTAAACTGGTAGTAAATTATTACCTGTTTTTCAAGTTCTACATGAAATTTTTTGTTTCCACACTGTCCCATGGTTTATGAGTAAATCCTGTATTTTACACATTTGAGTATTTAAAGGACAAGAAATATATGGAAAATATTCTTATTTATCTCAGATCTTTGGTCACAGAAAAAAAATATCTCAGAACTTTATGCTTCAAGTTTCACTCTTCAGTACTTTAATTTAGAAGAGAAAATAATATAGTATGTTGCCTATAATATCAGCATAAAAGCCTCGAGGATAAATTAGAATACATAAACTTTTAAAATTTGTATTTAATTCTTACCCAATAATCTTCTTTATCAATTATTTTAACAATATATACAAACTCCCATCACACAAAAAAAGCTATTTTCAGTGAAATGTGGAAGAAATAACACATTCGTTAAGTCAGAAAGAGGAAGCTGAGTTGGCTGAATCAACACAGGAATAAAAATGTGTATAAAGATTCTTCAAGGAGAAAACTTACTCAAGAAAAACACAGCTCCTTAGAAGGCTATAATATCAAACTTCATGGGATCCAGCTGACAGGGACTACAATAAAAGTCTAAATTAACTCTGAGAAGTTCAACAGAAATTTGCAAACCTATATGAAATAGGAAAAAAATAGGCTATCTTCTAAGTTATAAAGGTTTTCCACATTCTTCAGAAGTTAGATTATTACAGATATTCAAGATAAACAATTTTGTAATAGTTTAGTAAGTCCTTAATATAGTCTATAAAACTGTTAATACAAGAGAAATCTGAAGGGAAAAAACTACATCACTCACATACATAATTCTCAATTACTTACAGATTTACTGTCATCATTACTTGATGTTGGATCTTTATAGCCGGAACCAGGTAATGCTGGAAAATCTTCGTTGTGTATTGAGAAGTCCTGGGATTGTTCATTTGCTGGTTTTGTTACCATTCCAACTATGTAATAAAAATAATCCAGAGAATTGCAATTCATATTTATGGTATTTTTCTACAAATTATAAAAAATTAACTTTCCTCATGATAATGTACCAAAAGGATTTTTTTAAATTACACTATGAAAGCACACTTCAAAAAATTAGTATTCAGGATAACAATGAAGAACTAAACTTTTATATACTGATTAATAACTCAATATACAAAATAATACAAGGGAAGTTAAGTGGTAATCCTATAATTCTAAATCTAATGTCATTTATAGATGCTTAAAAACATAATTTGATATTGGTAATAGTTATCAAAATTTTTGGTTTAAAGCTTGATTTAAATATTTGACTAGCTATTATAAACACCAGTTAATTGTCAAATACAAATGAACAAAATAAATTTTAAAAGAACATGTCAGTATTCTACTTGAAAGTGACTTACAGAGTGAGCAAATTGCAATCAATTATAAAACAACTCCATATTATTTCAGATTTTCTTGGACTCCATGTAATAGATGTAAAACATGCAAGAACTGGGAAGTAATCCTCCCACTATACTTGGCATTAGTCAGGCCCTTATTGGAGAACAATATCCAGTTTGGGGCTCCACAATTCAAGAACGATATGGAGAAACTAGAGTTGGTCCAAGGAGAGCAACGGGAATGATTAAAGGGATGAAAAAATGGACCTATGAGGAAAGGTTAAAAACATTAGAGTCTGAACTGAGAATCAAGTAGCTAGGTACTCAACTTCCAGGGCAGATCATTCGTTATTTTTGGAAGACTAATTTGGAAGCTTTAGAATATTAACAATATATTTTTCCTTTCTTCACATATTGTTTTCTGTATTAATATTCCGAAAGGCAAAGAAATCCTTCTTGGATGAAAACAGGAAAAAACAGTTATCTTAGAAAAGTTATGAACTGATCCCTCTACATTGTTTCTACTAATGTTATCTACCATAGGATACCAAATAGGATACCAAAAGGGAACAGCTATGTGCAATGGATAAAAAGAATACGGCTGCATTGCTGTTATATATTATATAATTTTCATGTCTAAATTGCTATTGCACACATTTCATGCCCCCCCCCTTTTCACTTAGCCAAATCTCTTATTAGAGACAGTGACAAAGGGTTTTAATTGTGACCAAGAGTTTAAACTATCCATGACCCATTAGCCAGTGGTTTTCGACAGAAGGCAATTTTTTTTCCCATGGGACATTTGTCACTGTCTGGAGACACCTATGATTGTCACAATGACGGGAAGGGGGGAACTGTTGGCACCAAGTAGGCAGAAGCCAGGGATATTGCTAAACATTCTATAATGCACAAAACAGCCCCCTATTTACAAGGAATTATCTGACCCAAATGTCAGCAGTGTGGAGGTTAAGAAACTGGATTAGAAAAAATCTTCACTGTGTGGTCAGTCATTATTAATCACTAAGAATGTAGAACTGTGTGATTTAAAAAATGTGTGATGAATTAAGAAGAGAAAAGGCAGACCACAAATAATCATTAAAGTGTACTAAGACAAATGCCATAAGAAAATAACCTCTGAATACCAATGAGGATTTCCTTTTGGGGTTTCGGTACAAACTGTTTTCCCCTTTAACTTTGCTACCATGGTATTCTGGGAGGAAAACGCACTTTGCATATATCAGCTCTGACAAAACTATACTGCTCTGATTAGAAAACATATATGTGTATGTACACACACACACGCACATGAATATAAATGTGTATATGTGTGTGTGTGTGCACGCGTGTGCAATGGAAAGTTTCCATTAGCCATCATTAAAAAGCTTAATTACCATAAGGAGCTCTTCCAGCCAAGGGGTTTATTAATGGAGTTGGGTTACCACTTCCTTCCCTTCTGTTTCGGTCTGCTAATGCTGGAAAATCTGAAAGGTCCAATCCTGTCACATTTTCGCTTCCATCTAAATAATGAGAAAGAACATTAGTTATTGATTCTACAAACATTTTATTTTAAATAAGCTCTATGCCCAATATGGGGCTTGAACTCACGACCCAGAGACCAAGAGTCATATGCTCTATTGACTGAGCCAGCCAGGCACCCAGATTCTACAAACATTTTAAGGAGATTATTAAAGACCAAACATAATATAATTTGAAATGACAGTACCTTCTTCCTAAATAATGCCCAGCACTGTACTAGGTATGTGTAGTTGTACAATAAACACATGAACTGATTTCACACAAAAGAATTTGAGTAATTCAGCAAAGCAGTATGTAGCTAGAATAAAAATCTCAAATCCTAGAGACCTATGACAGACAATAAGGAGTAAGGTGGTACATTATTTCCCCTGTGAAGGGTGGCATTCTAAAGTTATAGCTTGTTAGCTAACGAGAGAGAGATTGTTGTGATATAACGGCTCTTTTCATTATATCCAGAGGTAGTTATCTGGATGCTTGGAGCTTTAGTTATACACAGGTATGGTAATGACAGTGCCTCTTGCAAATGACCAGAATCATATCTGAAACACAGGCAGTGGAAGCAGAAACTCTAAGGACTTCTGTCCTGTGACCTACTTTCCCATTACACAAGTGTGTGTGTGCGTGTGTGTGTTTTGCAGTTGGGGAGTATAAGCAGGGTGGTATAGACAGGGTATAAGCAGGGTTCCCACGTCTGGCAAGAGTTTGGGACACATGGGAATGTGATGCAAAGTCCAGAAGTTTATATTACTTATTACATAGTAGGCGCTCAATAAATATGTATTAAATGAATAAAATTAATTATTGTTCATTTTAAATGAAAAAAATAGGCTCACTTCCATTTAAAAATTAAAATTTAACCCAACATTTCTACTTTACCTATTTTATTTTTTAAAGATTTCATTTTTTAGTAATCTCTACACCCAACGTGGGGCTCAAACTCACAACTCGAAGATCAAGAGTCACGTGCTCTACCAACTGAGCCAGCCAGGCGCCCCTCTACTTTGCCTGTTTTAATTATCCCCTTCATTTCTTCTCAACTTTTATTATTCTATTATTCTTACAATCTTATATTCTTAATTTTTGAAGAATTTAATTTTCTACCTTAGTTTTAGCCTGCATTATAGCTTTTCTTTAATCTTTGTTTTGCCTAATGTTTTAATGTTTTATACCATTTTCAATTTATTTGGCCTTTCTGTTAATTTTTAATTTTTCTCCAAGTTCCATAATTAGAAGAATCTCGAAACTAATTATCTCAAGATTACTTTTTTGACAGAAAAACAATACACTCTATTAACATTTCAAGTCAGGTTACAATTTAAAATTATGAAAAGTAAAAGATAAAATCATGCGCATTATTTCTAAACCAACTGTAGTTTATGAACTTTTAATTTTAAAAAGATACTACTACATAAAAAGACAACAGAAATTTATAGTGTTTCAAGTTATAAAAGTAATCTTTCTTGAATTATTTAATTATAGTTATATAGTTATAAATTAACTATAAGCTCTGAATATATATTAACTTTTAACACACATCTTCAGGTCCTGTAAGATAGAATTTAAAATGGCCATGTAATCTGAGAAAAATTGTAACCTAAAAATTAGTTAATAAACCCCCAAAGTTATATTTTTAGGTAAAGACTTGGAAACAATTTCCCTAAAAATAGTTAAAATTTAGTTAAAACTGAATTTTAGAAATAATTTAAAAATTTATGGAAGTGTATGAAACCATAATTCAGAATATAAGATGGCATTGTCAGACATATTGTTACTTTATGGTCCATTTAGGAAAAAAATAACTTGCCAATTAAACTATGATACATAGCCTGAATTCAGAGATAATATGAAAAAAGTGTGCATTTCAGAAATAATGGGAATATGGTACTTCATAGCATTTTAACACCCTGAACATAAAAATATAATTTTTAAATGCTAAAATTTGGAATTTTAAAGTCTATTTTGATCAATCTATGCTGCTAAACATATAATAACACTTAAAAATTAAAAGCTCATGGTCACAAATGACATTTCATTACTAAATCCTGTCTCCTGCTTCCACATATGCTCCATTTCACTGATCATTCTTTCCATTTCCTTTATATATAGTTCTCTCTGAACGATCATATTCATTTTTGCTCCTATGGCCATACAACATCTTTTATTTCTTTTCTCAGGAAAGGGTCTGGAGGCAAGGGTGGAAGAGGGTGAAACCTGAAGCAGAATAGAAACAAAGCCTCTTGTTCTCTTCTCTCTGAAGCAGTTGATAAAAGAAATAAACCAACAGACTGCAGGAATTCAAAATCAGAACTCTATGTAATTAAAATTTACACATAAAACTGGATAAAAAAAATCCAGGGGTTAAATGCCAAATTAGTATTATTAAAATTATTAAGAAAAAATTGTTAAGTGCTCCAATATAATTTTAAAGGTTTCTTCAATCTGGGTCTCTATAGCCAGAATACCATACCACTCAACCTAATTTAGACAGTAGTGACGGGACTGAGGCTAGGAAAAGCTCTTGAAGCAAAAGAGATTCTGAGGCATAAGTATAGACTAAGTTAATGTTTAGGCTTTCTCTAGGTGTTAAGGAAATAGTCCTAAAGTTATAACACTATGCTATTACCATGTCAAGTGAAAAAAATATATTTAAATATCTCTCAACTGTTCACTGAATTAAACCCTAATTCCTGTCAAATTCTCACTAAATTAAATTCTACCAGTTTAACACAAAAATCCTATAATATTTTAAGACCTGTATATTGAATTGCTTTATATTTCAAGATCTATCATATTTTTTATAGGGTACTACCTCCAGAATAAGCTTACCTGTTCCATTAAAAATGTTACTTGATAAGGAGTTATTCATTCCAAATGCCTGATTCCTGTTCATTCCAAATCCAGACATACTGGGTACATAGAAAATAATTTTAGATATACAGTAAGAACACTAACTTTCAGATGAAGAAAAACAAAAGTGTATACTTTTGATCTCCTCATATAAAACAACAGTATGTTTAAAAACAAATACCAATTTTATTTTTGAGTTTAACATTTATTTAAAAACTCCCCTGAAGTCCTTCCATGAATAACTGAGAACCAAAATGTCTTAAACAGATGATTTTAAAAAACAAAAAGCAAAGAATTTACACATAAGCCTTGAGGAAAACAGAGATTAATGGTGTACTATTTTAGGTACTTGGAGAATGAACTTACTGGATACACTGGCAGAAGTAACTAATCTTAAAAACATGCAGTTTAGGGCATAACTAGTGTTCCTGAATACTTGTTTTCCTTCCACTAGTAAAGTGTGCCATTATCACTTTCCATAAAAGATCTTCTTTCATACAGAGTCTTCCCCATCTAGAATCAACTCCTCATGGACAGGGCCTATGTCATGGTCATCTCAGCATCCTCTGCCTTTAGTGTTCAGGAGGATAAAACAGGCACTCAATAAATGTTTCATTTACCTGAATCAAATGGTGATTTTCTTTAACCGAATTTAGTGTTCTAAAAAACACGTCATTCTAATCTAAATATAGTTTATCTTTCAGCTACTTAAAAGAAAAAGCAAATCTCTCCATAGTACCCTCCATTCTAAATTAATGCACAACTGGTACTTGGTAAACAGTTACAAATGCCTCCCTTTTCTGCACAAGGCTAAACATGAGAGAACAGAAACAAGTCTGAACTTAAAGCAAAGCCAGAAGTAATTAAGAATGTCAAAAAGAGCTGTTAATGCAAATTTTACAATGAAAGTATGCATCTTTAACATCAAATAATCTGATAAAAGACAGTGAGTGTATCAGTGTTTATGAGTAGGGTTAAACTGTTTGAAGATGACAGGGTTTTTTTGTTTTTTTGCCTAAGTTTGTAAAACTAACTATGGCCAAACAATATTTTCACAAAATATTGTGAGCTGGTGAAAACAACAATACTCTAGAGAAGAGTAAGAAAGCCATTAGAAATACTTATTTAATAGCATGTTAGAATTGTTGATATATACCTTCAAACACTGAATAAGTACTAAGGGATAAAAACATTCTATAACAAATACAACTTATCAGTAGTAATAAGCAGGGCTATAGAGACCCATGTTTCATTGACAATTTATAAGCAATGTATTTTTTAGAAACAATTAAAATGTGAAAAAATATGGAAAGGCAAAATTTAAATATACATTCAATGGCGAACACTATAAGAAAAGATGTGATAAAGTCCAAGAAGTATATGGTTAGGAAGCTATCAAGTAGGTAAGAATTTTGATGACTCTTTATAAATAATATTTATTTTTAAAATTAAGAGCAGTAAAATTGTTAACAGAAATACTCATAAATCTAAATATAAGAACTAGACCTTATGGGATGAAGATCAAACAGGAAATGTGCTAATAACCTATTTTTAATCCAGATTTTTGCAAGTAGTAGATAAAAGAAAGTGAATTAAATGGGTAAGATGACAGCAAATAGATCAAGATCCTTTTCCCTCATACAGTTCCCCATTTAAAAAAAAACTGGCAAAATTAAACACGAGTTTTTCAAGATACAAAGCCTTATACTGTATGTCATCACTCTCATATAAATTATCTGAACAGTTTCAAAATCCTAATAAAATGGACAACTGGTCTTCATATTGTCATTATCACTTGCACAGTAAACATATGCAAATGGACAGTGCAAAAAGGAGTGAAAAAGCACAACAGCTCAACTTGTTTTAAATCCCAGAACGTGACACTTTTTTTGAATATTGTAGATGTAGTCTTAAAAAAGTCTTTGGTCATTAAGTCTCCAAAGCACAAAACTGAATTTCAGTTGAAATGGTACTAAACCAAAGCATCAGTGAAGCAAGGCAGTAATAGTCAAACATATCCCTGGTACTGTTCATAAGTTTGGAACTCTTACACATAAGTGGCCAGCCTCATTTAACAGACGAAGCACATATCCACAAAAATCTGCCTGGTGGCAACTTAACAATTCTTTTCTAACAACCACAAAAACCTTTAACGTGCTTTCCAAAATCGAACTGATTTTCAAAAGAACGTGTCTTTAGTTTGGGGAGATTAAAGTTGTAACACGTAACAGAAAGAGAATCTTTGGTCATAAAAATATGATGAAACAAACTTATGAGACAGAAGCCAAGACTCAAGAACAGAACGCTGAATATGAAAAGGCAAATGTGAAAATACCCAGAAAGACAATTATACACAGTATCAATAAACATCTTACCTGTTCACAGTAAAAGGCTGTCGAGAAGGCTGCTGCTTTGGCATACATATTATGCTTGGCGAGCTTCTGTTGGGGCTACCTAACCCTGAACTGCTCATGCTATTTGTCCTGCTAGGAATTCCAATGCCCTGACCAACCTGGGAGTGGTTCATCATATTCCTAGGATTCATAGGCAAAATACCCCTGAAAAAGAAGTCCATTATACTAAATAAGCTCTCTACAATCACTCATTAAAATTCTCTGTAAATAATCAATTGGCCTAACCCCAGAACCTCAAATATACTTTCAAATTACACTGCTAATTTTCATTAATTTAATTCTTTTGTCTGGTCATTCTAGCTCTTTGAAAAGTCAAACCAACCAACAAGAAATTGGGTAAATTATAGCAGAACTAATATAAGGTGGTATTTAAGATGAGAAAACTACTGGTGTGACTAGGATATAAAATAATACAAATGTATTTCACACATATATTTAAAGTAAGTTCATTCCAAATGTATGTCATTCTATCTTCATACTAATATGCATCATCTATGTAATCAATCTTGTTTTATTTTACTCACTAGAGCAATGAATGTGTGTTGAGGGAGCAATAATCATAATTATCTGAGGAATGATTTTAAATTGCACATCCTCTTTTGAGGAAGAGCTGGCTTCTGAAAAACCTCCCCAGGTGGTGATTAACCCTTGATACCCACCCAGCTGACAACCAGTATGTCAGATGCATGATAAAAACATCTTACACTATACTTATCAATTTGCAATGAAATAAAATGAGCACAGGGTATTAACTTTCTTTTCCTCAGTGAAAGGCACTGAACCAGAAAAATGAAATAATTTGTTATTAAAAAACTAAAACGCTTGCTTACTCTACAAAGATACATCTTGAGAAATATTCTGGTCCATCAATAAATACCTGCTTGGAGATGGAGGCGTGTGAAGTGACATTGTTGGTACCCCTGTTGTTGGCGTGACGTGGCTCGGTAACTGAGTGCCTTGTGATAAGCTGCGATTTAACTGAGGGGTATTGTTGCTCATCCCCCTCATTGGAAGGCCTAGTGCACCTATTAAAAAAATTCAGAAGAAGGAAATTCATTGCCATCAGGAATGAAATTGTTATCCATCTTCTGGAGTTGGCAATTTAAAACATTTTTAAATGACCTAACATGTAATATAATATGCAAATTTTAAATGGATATATTCAATTCACTCCAAATGGACTCTGATTTTAACAAAAATGTTCTAATCTGAAATTTAATATTATGAATGGACATTGCTTTCATATTTCTATCTTCTGTTCATATTTCTATTTTATAATAAACTATGTCTGCCAATGGTTTTAACAAATTAGATGATTTATGTTTCAATGAAAACATTTTTACAAATATGGCTTTAAGAAATTTGCAATCTTGTGTTTTTATGTTTTAAATCATAACTGAGGTAAACAGACATTTAACCCCACTTTGCTGAAGCAGCTTTAATTTTTATATGATGCTTTTAAAATGCATTTAAGAAATCTCTACTATTTATACATACATATTTCTCAACATTACAATTTTTACAAACCCAACACAAAATGTCAGCAACTGTTAAAAAACTCAAGCTGATATAACTGTAAGAGACAAGAACTTAAAACATTTAAGTTTTCAAAGTACAGTGACCTTCTATTTATCTAGTACTCCTGGGGACAGATGCAAAGGGGTGGATGTGTTCCAACAGGTATATTTTACAGACTACTTAAGTTTCACCACTCAGATACAAAACAGAAAAAAAAAAATTGGGATAAACATTTCAAAAATGTATGACATATTTCCTAACTTTTATTAATATGAAATATAAATTAATTTCTTAATGATTCAGAAATATCATGGATATCGAATATTCTAGATGTTTAGATATCCCCCCTAGCCCTTTCATCCCTCAGAGTAAGGATGTCCAGCTGTCACCAGTTATCATGTCTGCCTATGGATGCCTCCATTCCCTGATCCACACTTTTTGGTGCTGTTTCTAGTCAGCTGTGAAATAGCCTATCAGTCAACTAAACTTATTCTGAACTGGAAATTAAACAAAAGTGATAAGATATAGAGATAATGAATACATAGATTACTTAAGTGCTAGGGATTTAAAGTGACTTTTTTCTTCCGTTTTTGGTCTAATTCCAGAAGCAAGAATTTCAAGGACATGAATATTTTGAAACTATGACCTCCAAAAAATTGGAGTATATATATACGTTCTGAATGTTTTACTTCAAGTACCTTTGCAACATTTATCTTTGGCATAACAATGTCATACCTAAGGACAGCAGTGGACCACAAAGATTCCACTGGAATCTGCCAGCCACAGTACTCAGCTTATAGCCTAACTTTGCTTCTCAACTGAATGAAGCCAAGAAATCCAACTCAATGTAGCTACTATATTCTGTGTACTATGTGTACTGTGTTTCAGTCAGGTTCCATGAGGACCAGAGGTTAGTTCTACATTTCTTTCAATGACATGAAGGGAACTAATTGGTCTAGATTATATGCTGGTTTAGTTCACCATATGTATGTCTGGTCCCTACAAATTTTGTGACCGTGAATATACCACTGGCTGCAGATACTTTCTCTGAATTGGGACAAAATAAGGAAAAATAAGATTAAAAATTAGCCATATAAGATTTCTTCAGAAGAAATCAGTCTTTTCTTTCTCTTAAGCCACTCTAGTTTTCTTGAAGGCCCTCTACATGCTCCCACAGTGAACCACCAAAGTGATACTTTTCATATCAAGCATTCAATAAACATTTAGTGAGTGCCTACTATGTGCCAAGCACTGTGCTAGCTGCTGGGGATACAGCAGTGAACAAGATAGAAAAGGCTCCTACCCTCAGGGAGTTTACATCCTTCTCCCCAAAGAATGCTATCCTAAAGTCAGCTATAGCTGCGAATTAACCACAGGAATGTGTTTCACACAATTACTGACCACCAAGAAATATACAATTTTAGAGAGAGAAGGGACCTTAAAGATCACCTAGTCCAATGGTCGCATTTTACAGATGAGGAATCTGAGCCTCAGATGAATTAACTGACTTCTCCAAGGTGACACAAAGAACCAAGACTAGAATTTAGATCTCTTAACTCCTAGTGTTCTTCATGGCAGCCCTATGGGAGCCCAATATAACGCTAAGTGAACACCCCTTGTGTCTACCAATTCGTAACACCTCTTTACCTATTTTTTGCTTTCTTTCCTTTTTTTTTTTTTAAATATTTACTTCTCTTCAAATTTTACTAGACCTCCATCTCTTGGTCTCTTCTCTCCATTTTCTTTCTCCCTCTCTTGTCTATACCTGTTCAAGTTTTCTTTCTTCTAATTTTACTTTCCCCTTCCTTTTCACGCTCTCTTATACCTTTATCATTATAAATAAACATACACTTCACAAAAATCTAGTACCCTCTGTTTTCTAATAATCAATATGCCTTACAAAACTCACTGAGATCTGTTTACTTTAATCCTTCATATATATTTTTTCTATGCTGTATTATGAAAATCTATAACTTCAGAAATATCTTAGAAACTGGAGACTATCTGAACATTAGCAAAAAACCTTTGGAGATGGAAATAAGAATGGGTATGGTTATTTATTTAGTGAATTAGGGATTGGCACATGAGTTAATTTATAGTGCTGAGAATGGAAGAAGACGTATGAAATAAACTCAAAGATTAGTGTTTACTTTTATTTTTCCTTCAACACTCTTGATTTCATAAAACAGCTAATATATTCAGTCTGAGTTGCATTTTGTTGAACTAGGTAGGTATGAAAAAAAAAGGAGAGAGTAGTACATCAATTTCAAATGGGATCATCAAGCTTTGAATACCTTAATAATCAAGCTATTTCACATTCAATTAAAAACTGAATTGTTTTAAAACATAAAGAGTATCACTGATAGGAACACACAAAGACTTATTTTTAGGAAACAAAATACACTAAATCATTAAATTTGAGTTACCTGAGTCAAACAATTATAACTGGGTAAGGTCAAAGAGAGAACTTTGCTCTTTTAGTAATATATTTAGAAACAATCACAGAAAATCTCCAAAATATTATACCAAGAAGAAGACATGCAAGCCAAAAGAAAAAAAAAAACAGGGAAAAAAAACCTCATAAAAAAATTTGGCATAAAATAACTACAACAGGTAAAAAATATTATAAATGAGGAATAAATGAACAAAAAAGCTAAAAAGTAGCTAAAAAGGTTATAGTTCTGAATCACATTTTTCTTTCAATTTGACAAATGGCTAATAAAGAATAATATAATATTAGGAGAACTATATGAACATACTTCAAGTAGATTCCTATCTCTAATTTGGCAGGGTGCTAAACAGAGAATGAATTGAATTAATTGATCATTTTTCAGAAATCCAAAGGAACATGATCTAAGAAATGTTTCCATGAATTACTTCCACTGCACAAACTGATTAACAGCACATCCCTTAAATATCTTATACCTCCTTTATTCAATCTTTTGCTAAAAACAAACAGTATTAATAATACCAGTTGTAAGAAAAAAATCCAATCATAGCAACCAAATCCTTGAATACTCACACTTAAATGAAGACTCCTGAAATCTTTATTAAGGAAAGGGTAGAACATCCCTAATTGCCGCAAAAGGGCTTAAAGCATCCCCCCCCCTTCCATGTATTTCCAAAGCAACTAGCTCTTCCTAGGAACTCACTGTCCTACCCACACTGATGAAGAATAACCACCTTCTAACCTCCAACCTGTCCTCACATCTTCTTAACTCCAATCTGCCCCACACTTAGCTGCTTAATCTTCTATATATCATTATGTTAAGTATTTTCCTTCATTAAAATCAAAGGATTTTAGAGATAGAAAAGTCTCCAGAGATCTTCCAGCTGAGTTACAGATAAAGAACATCAGGAATGAAGTTACTTGCCAAAAATCACAATGAAGAATAAAAATAACAATCCAATTTCTCAACCTTTTTTTCAACCAATCACTTTCTACTTCTTAATAGTAGTTGCTAACTTTTACATCACCTGTGGAACTCTAATGTCTGGGTCCCATGCCCAGAAATTGTCACTCAGTCTGAATGCTGGCAATTCATGGCTAGTGAGATTTAAAAAACTCCAGGTGTTTTTAGAGGTACAGCCAGAGTTGAGAACCACTGCCCACTAGTATTATATCCAATCACAGTTTAGTCTTTTAAAATTCTCTGTCAGGACTGAAAAGATTCTTCTAATCTGTTTTTTTAGCCCCCAGCTTTACTGAGATATAACTGACACATAACTCTTCCTAATTAATATTTTACTCGCCCCAATATAAACTCTTTTTACAAACCACATATCTTACTTACAATCTTCCTTCTTTCCCTGGTCCTCTCTCCAAATCTGTCCCTGCACTTTTTTTTTTTTTTAAAGATTTTTATTTATTTATTGAGAGAGAGAGAGAATGGTAGAGAGCATGAGAGGGAGGAAGGTCAGAGGGAGAAGCAGACTCCCCGCTGAGCAGGGAGCCCGATGCGGGACTCGATCCTGGGACTCCAGGATCATGACCTGAGCCAAAGGCAGTCGCTTAACCAACTGAGCCACCCAGGCACCCTGTCCCTGCACTTTTATTCATATCTCTCTCCCCACCCAGAATACATTCCCTTCTCTCATCCTACAGAAGTACAGAAGAATATCTTTTTTTAAAAAGGTCATGATGCGGGTGTTTACACCCAGCGTATGTACAGTGTGCTTTGATGTATATGGGAGAGACCACTAACTCAGATGTGAAAGTAAAATGGATTTGGAATCAGAAAATGTTTCCTGGAGGAGACAGTAAATGAATTAAATAACGAAAGAGACCTAGTCAGGTATTTGGTGGTGGTGATGAGGAGTCAGGAAGATGAAAATGTTGAAACAGTTTAGTCTGAAAACAGCGAGATGCATGAAAATGAAGACAAGTGATATGCCTGGAGGAGGAGTAGGTTTGCTTTGGGGTATTAAGGACATATGAGACAAGAAAGAAACATGGATGGAGTTAACTGCAGTCAAATGCTCTACCCCTGAGCTTTACCCCTTGGAT